GCGACCCCTCCCTGGGCTGCCGGGCGCAGGCGGGAGGCGGGTCTGGGACCCAGGGCTGCAATGTGGTGGCCTCCCTGTGGGAGGTGGAGCCAAGGAGGAGACACAGCTGCTGCCTGGCACCCGTGGCCTCGGTGACAGAGAGGGAGGAACTGTCCTGGCTTCTGTCCCTTCCCGTGGGCACTGCAGTGCCTCCCCGAGGACCCACCTGGCTCACGAGCCGGGGAAATGCCACCGTGGGGGCTCAGACCATGGGACGCAGAGCAGGGCTTCAGGACCAGCGTGCTCTAGCCGCTCCTCCGTCCTCGGCCCAGCAAAGGGGCTGTAGGGCTTAGAACAAACCCCAGAACCTTGACAGTGACCCGCCCAGCCCTGGGTACCAACCCAGATCACACCTGTGGCCCCGCCTCCCGCTCTGGCCCCCTCCTCACCAGTCACTCTTCCTGGAGCCCCAGGGTTTGTAGTCTTGGCCTCTAACCCCATTTCTGAGCCTTTCACTTGCTCTGGCACCAGCTACAGTGGGAACGACTTTCCCCTCCAGCCAGGCTCGCTCTCGGCATCGGGGACCCCCCTCCCCCGCCTTTCCTTCAGGCTCTGCCCTCCCTCCCCCCACTGTCCTTCCACGTTGATCTTCGACAGGAGATACTAGTAGATTGACTCATGCCGTGGAGCTGGAGTTATCTCTGCTCCTAAGAATTACAGAGAGGCAGCTCTCAGCCCGAAGCACAGGCTCGCAGTGTGGGTCTCAGGCCCTGAGGGGTTGGGGTGCTGGGCCGTCCCTTTGATGGTATCTTCAAGGAGCTGCCTGTGGACATGGCCCCACTGGGAGTGTCACTGCCTCCTGTGGCTCCCCCTCGGCTGGGCAGCTCACTCCTGAGGGCAGCGTCTCGTCTCGCCTCGAGGGCTAGTTCCCAGCACAGCCCCGAGGTGGCCAGGCCTTGCACCCTGATTTGGGAGGGACACCCCGAGTGTCGGAGGCACATCAGCGTGCCTCACCCTCTGTGCACCCTCCGCTTTTCTTTCCCACGTGGAGGAGAGGGGGGCTGCTCCCTAGCCGGCGGGGGGTGGGGTGGGAGAGGCAGCCCTTCCTGTGAGAACCTGCCCCACCTCAGCCAAGGTCCTGCGTCCGGCCCTTTCCCACCATGGAGAAAATAGCAAGAAAAACAGATGAGAACTGATACCCTGGCTGCAGGGTCTGCTGGGACCTGGCCCTGGAGGAGCCCAGGAACGAGGTGATTTAGGGGCTCCAGGAAGTCAGGAAGGGAGGGGGGCCCTCTCTCACTAGGAGCGGCCTCCCCGCCGCCTCCCACCTGGACACTGTCAGTACCACCTCCTCTCTCGGTGGGTCCTCATGGCCCACCCCCATCTCTGGAGGTTCTTCTTAGAACAGGGCCAGCCGTTCCCACGTGTGAACTTGTAGGAAAGGGACCTTCTCGCTCTGCCGATCATCCTGCATCCAAACAGCCCAGGCAGCTGTCGCCCTGAGGAGAGCGGGTCTCGGAGCAGGAGACATGGCACACGATGGCCGCTTCTGGGTCTTGAATCTGAAATTGGGGCTCCTCCCAGGATGCTACGGGGTTCCCCGAGGCATGAATGTAAAAGGGCTTGTCGACATAAACGCGCTATAAACCCTGCAGATGTGGGTGGTGCCCGGGCCTCTGTGTCCCTCCGCCTCCTTCTCTCTCCTCGGGATGATCTGTGCCCTTTGGTCTGGCCCCACAGACTCATGGCCAAGCTGCTTGGGGACATTGGAGACACTCGAGTCTCAGGAACAAGCCTGAGCCAGATGCTGCAGAGCTTGCGTTTGCTGAGCACCTTGCGATCCCAGAGGGTTCCAGGTGGGAATGTTTCAAGGGGCTTGGAGGTGTGGGAGCCCAGGCCCAGGAGTACCGGGGGGTGTTTATACGTGTTATCGGGTCCTCACCCTCTGACGTGGGTCCCGCGGGCCCATTTCTCAGAGGAGGAGTTGATGTAGTAGCTTGCAGACTTGGGGGCCAGACTTGGTCTCCTTCCAGCATATGCCCCAGGCAGGCCTTCCTGCTGGGGTCCCTGTGGAGGGAACGGCTTCAGCTGTAGCAGAGCAAAGGTGCAGGCAAAGAGAACCCCAGGCAGGCGCGGCCAGTGGGGCAGCCCTCAGGGCTGTGCTGTGGGGACACAGGACGCAGGATCACAGGGGAGGGGAGGAGGGGGAGTCACCTGGGGTCCTCAGTGTCCCCACCAGAAAGATAAGGAGATTAGAAATGAGGGTCCCATCCACTTCGCTTTGCAGATTCCTCCCACCCCAAACCGCCCCTCCCTCCCCTTCCTGTGAAGCCTTCGGGGAACAGGGGGCTGTGGTGGAAAGGCCCCAGGAGGAAGGGCCTTGGGCGTCATCGCTGGGAAGGCGAGAGCCATGGGCACGGGAAGAGAAGCAGCTGGAGGGAGCCCCTCACACCCTGGGTCCCAGTAGCTGTTTACAGGCTCACGGGGCAGCCAGCACTGGCTTGGAAGCCGCTTTGGAAAATAACCACGGGCCGCTGTGCTGAGCCAGCTCCTCGCCCGGAGCGGGCCCGGCCTTTGGCTCCTTCTCCGAGGCCGTGTGTGGCCAGAGGACACGCTGGCTGCTGGCCGGGCTTGCTTCACGTGAAGTGGGGACATGGACACCCTCGGCCTCAGTGGGGGGTGCGGGGTCGTCACCTCGGTAGATTCTGTATCACCCACATGTTTACATCGCGCGTGTGTCCTGTCATGTGAAAGCTCGTTCCCTCGACATCTTCCCTTGCGTTTCCTTTCAAGGACAGGTCACAGCCTGCAGCTGCCTGTTGCCTGATCTCCTCCTTTTGTGTTCTCTGTGTCTTCTCCCAAAGGTGAGCTGAGAGAGGCGGGTCCTCGTCTCACTCCCAGCGGAGAGCAGTGCCCGGGACCCACAGCACGCAGAGCTTGCTGGACATGAGCACAGCTTTCTCTCCCGAGAGCCATTCCCAAGGGGCCCGGGCGTGCACAGCTGGTCCTTGAGTCCAAGCCGTGTGCAGTGACGGGGAGGGGAGGGGAGGGGAAGGGCGGGCGGAGGAGCTGGGCGATGGGGGGCTGGCCGGGGAGTGGACGAGCTCAGAGGAGGGTGTGGATGCTTCCTGAGTGTTGCCGCCCAGGAAGGTGGCTTGTGCACCAGTGGCTGAGTGGCCAGTGGGGACAGGAGTTGGGAAGCCCCGGCAGGTCACAGGGCGCCGTGCACCTCCGCGTCTTCACCTGCTGGTGCTTCCCACCCACGAGGGGGTCATGAAACAGGGATGAGGCCACCAGGGGACACGCCCAGCACACACGGCGATTTCACTTTGGTGATTTTATTAAAACTCCTAAAGAGCGTCCTCTGCTTTCGGTTATGATTTCTATCATCAACCAAGAGAGGTGAGCCAGTGCGTGTCCAAATCTCAGATCCTGAGAAATTGGCACTTTAGCCAAAGACACACATTCCCCGCTCCCTGGGCCCTGGCGGGGGTGGCCTCCCCTGGGGGGGGGGGAGCCTCACGGGGACTCACACTGCCCTCCCTCCCCAGGTACAAGACGGTGGTGACGCCCCGCAGGGCCGCGGTGGCCATCGCCGGCTGCTGGATCCTCTCCCTCGTGGTGGGCCTGACGCCCATGTTTGGCTGGAACAACCTGGGTGCGGTGCAGCGGGCCTGGGCGGCCAACGGCAGCGCCGGGGAGCCCGTGATCAAGTGCGAGTTTGAGAAGGTCATCAGCATGGAGTACATGGTCTACTTCAACTTCTTCGTCTGGGTGCTGCCGCCGCTGCTGCTCATGGCGCTCGTCTACCTGGAGGTGTTCTACCTGATCCGCCGGCAGCTCAGCAAGAAGGTGTCGGCCTCCTCGGGCGACCCGCACAAGTACTACGGGAAGGAGCTGAAGATCGCCAAGTCGCTGGCGCTCATCCTCCTCCTCTTCGCGCTCAGCTGGCTGCCCCTGCACATCCTGAACTGTATCACCCTCTTCTGCCCGAGCTGCCACAAGCCCAGCCTGCTCACCTACATCGCCATCTTCCTCACGCACGGCAACTCCGCCATGAACCCCATCGTCTACGCCTTCCGCATCCAGAAGTTCCGGGTCACCTTCCTCAAGATTTGGAACGACCATTTCCGCTGCCAGCCCGCACCCCCCGTGGACGAGGGCCCCCCGGAAGAGAGGCCGGATGACTAGATTCTCCCTGCCCACAGCCAGAGCACCTCAGCGCGGCCCTCACTCCCCACCATCTAACTGTCTCCATGGGCCTCCCCGGCCGGGCCGGGGTGTGGGGGCCATCCATGGGGGGAAACCAGGCAACCTGAGGGAAGGAGGGAAGTGGCTTGAGCCACCCCACCTGCTGCCTGTCCCTGGGCAGCCCCTGCTTCAGGCAAAGGGCCCCGCGGCGGGGAGGCCATCTCCGCTCCTGCAGGTGGGGGCGCTCTCGTCTCAGCGGCTGTGACCCTGCAGCCTGGGACCAGGCCTCAGGAGGGAGGACATCCCCGCCAAGATGCGTGAAGAAGATGCTGTCTCTGAAGGAGAAGGTGGCCCGAGCCAGTGAGGGGCAGCCATGAAGGAGCCTCAGGCCCTACCTCCCCAGCCCCAGGCTCCCGGCCACGCTGGGTGCCACGGTGCCGCCCCCTTGCTCTGAGCAGCCCAAGACTGTACTTGAGAGGGAGGTAGGAAGAGCCAGCGCAGATGTCATTTCCAACATTCGCTTTATTCTGCACCAGCCTTTGGAGCCTGGTGGGGGCTTGGAGCCCAGCCGCTAGTAGGCAGTGGTGGTGTGGGCCTCACCCAGCCATCAGGTGGCAGCACTGAGCGTCCCCAGGAGGAAGCTGGAGTGTGACTACCTGTCATCCAGGACCAGCCCAGCAGGTGCACCTGCCCCCAGACAGGCCGGGACTCTCCTAAGTAGCACCTTCCCTGCTGCTCCTGGGCCTGATGGAGACCCGTCTGCTCCTGGGCCTGATGGAGACCCGTCTGCTCTCGAGAGAGTTGTGCCTCCTGCTGAGGGCTGGGCCGGGGAGTCGCTGACGGGCACTCCTGGGATGGGGGGTGACAGGCCGGAGCCAGACAGAGGATCCAGCCCCTGAGAGAGGAGGCGGGAAGGTCCTGCTGGCCTTTAACTACCCCCAGGGCCCTGGCATGCAGCCCGGTTTTCAGGGGCTGTGGGGTCTCCTACAGAGCCGAGGGTTTCAGGGTTTCTGGGGAAGAGCCAGCCCTGCCAGGCTCAGGGTCCTGGTGCAGAGGGTGGAGGGGCGGATTCTGTGTGAGTAGCGACTCCAGGCCTTGATTCCAGGCCCTTGCCTCTCTCAGAGGTGCTGTGCCGTGCTCCCAGGGGGCACATGACTAATAAAAGACTGTGAATCCACATGCAGAGCCACTGCTAGGCACCCACCGCCACACCGAGGGCGACAGACAGCCTCGCAGAGCGGACTCCCTGGGGAGGTCAAGGAGTGGGAGCCGGGCAACGTGCCCCCCGGTTCCCGCGAGGGGGGGCGTGTGTTCTTACAGCTATTGGCTTGGGCTGGCAAGCCCTGAACGTGAGAGCAAGATCCCGAAACATCTCAGGTCAAGAAATCCCCTGACTCCGAGTCCCCTCCCGTGGACCTTGCGCGTGGGGTCCCATGGGGAGACCCCTCATGGCGATGCATTCACCGCTTTGCAGTGACACGGCGCCTCCCCCCAGACAAGCATCACTGTCAGAGTCCCCGGCGGTACACATGCACCTTTATTGGACTGGTTCTTGCCCAGCATGCAGCTCTTTGCAGGGCCCAGCAATCTTGGCACCGTCCAGGGCCTTGTGCCCAGTCATCCTGTCCCGGGGGCTGCCAGGCCCACTCCTGGGCACTGGGCCGCAGCCTCGGGTGGAGGGAGGTGAGGCTGGGGCCAGGGAGCAGAGCTGTCCGTCCGCCATCACAACAGAGAGGGGTCTGGAGACTCATGGCGCCGGATATGGGCCTGGCGGCCCTGACCCCTCAGGCCCACAGCACCTGGCAGAGAACACGTTCCATGACCCTGGTCTTGGCAAACCGGGCTGAGGGGTGAGGAGGGCAGGGAAAGCGGGCCCTCTCTCCTTCCTCGAGTCTGGGCTCTGCCACTTCCCCCCGTCCAGCACCGAAGAACCACCTCGCAGAGAAGGTGGGCACACGCTGTGGGCCCCACTTTTCTGACAAGAAACAGGTCCAAGAGGGCGCCCCAGCCCCAGGTCACTCAGAGCCAGGACTGGACCGTCCACCAAGTCACCGCCCCCAGGCCCCACCAGCATTGCCCTGCCTGCCAGCTGCCCCCGTCTCTGGACTGTGGGACTGCAGACCTGTGCCCACGCTGACTGCCCCTCCCCTTCTCACCTGCCCCGCCCCTGCCCAGATGCAGCACCGGGAACAGGTCCAGCATTTACCTGTGTCTCCAGCACAGCCTCCTCCGTGCTCCTCAGTGTGTGGCTAAGGCTGGAAGAGATCCCACAGGTTAGAGCTGGGGGGTCCTCTGGGGACCAGGTTGGGGGTGGAGAAACCAGAGCAGCTCATGGCCACCTCCCAGGCGGACACTCCTCCTCCTCTGCCCACATAGGCCACCCTCCCGAGCGTGGACAGTCCTGGCAGCCCCACCGCGATCGCACTGCCCCGTCCTGCGGGTGTTCAGGGCTCAGCCTCCGCTAGTCTCGCAGGAGAAGAGGTGCATCTCCTGTTCTCCCCCATGGCAGGTCCCTCAGGAGACCCTCCTCCAGCCCTCACCTTTGACCTCCAGCCGGCAGTCCACAGACGCCTCCCCCAGCATGTTGACGGCCTTGCAGGTGTAGACCCCGGAATCAAAGGGGCTGGGTTTCCGGATCTCCAGGGTGTAGACGCCTTGCTCAGAGAAGGTGCGGTATTTGGGGTCCCCCTGGATGTTCATGTTGTTCTTCAACCAGATGATCTTGGGCTGGGGAGCAGGGCCACAGGAGGCTGGGCAGGCTGTGGGCTGGGACGGGCTCTCCCAGGCCGGATTCCTCAGCCCCACCGCCCCCGAGGCACAGCCGGGCCTGCCCTCACCTTGGGTGACGCTCGCACGCTGCAGGAGAGCTGGGTGCTGTAGCCGGAGGTGGTGGTGTGATCAGCCAGGGGCTGGGTGAAGGAAGGGGCTTCTGAGAAGTCTCTCTCAACAAACCCTTTAAGTTTGGCAACAATATCTGGGTTCATGGGAGAAAATGGGGTAAATTTGAGATATAGGAGGAGATCTCTTAGGATGGACCTCAGCCCTTTCCCCAAACGATCGCTACAGCTTCCATCTAGGCATCTTCTGACGACTGGCTCTGACGGCCTGGAGGAAGGTCTTAGCGTCCAGAGGACGACGACAATCCGTGCCACCCTGCCCTCCTCTGAGCGCCGTGGCGGGCCCCCGGCTCCTGGCCAGTGTGTGGGGACGTAGGACAGAGTGTGTCCCAGGCAGAGCAAGGGGAGCTGAGAGGGTGGGCAGGAGAGCAGAGAGAGGAGAGGATCTTGGCTGATGGTGGAGACCAGCAGTCTGGAGATACTACATTTTATTTCTGTTTGTCTTTGGAGAAATAACTGGCTTTCCTTTTTTAAACAAAAATGTCTTCCTAATTCTGTGCAACTCAGGCTGCTGTTAACAAGTGTGTGCCTTCCGGACCCACACAGACTCTGCTGGGGGAGGCCTTGGAGCACGCAGGGTGACGGAGAAAGGGCCTGGCATTTAACCTTCGACGTGAGGGGTCTTGCCCTGTGTGGAGAGAGTAAATGCCGAGTCTCTCCCGTCCGTCCACGTGGAGTTATATTAGGGCTGGAGGTCTGTGCTAGCAGCAAACTTGCCAGAGTCCACTGTCCCCACTGCCCTCATGCTGGTTCTTTGGGGACAGTGCACGTGAGGCCTAATGACCACTGATGTCGGCAGCCACAGGGCATCTGTGGAATAAACACAGTCTCCCTCTCCCAAGGGACCCTTCTTATTTGCAGGAGACACTCGGATGTACTTGTTCAATCATCCACCACATCCATCCCTTTGCAGTTGCGTGTGTGTACATGGCTGTGCATGGCTGTGTGTTCGACATCCATCCCTTTGCAGTTGCGTGTGTGTACATGGCTGTGCATGGCTGTGTGTGCGTGTGGCTGTGTGTGTGCATGACTGTGCATGGCTGTGCGTGCACAGCTGTGCATGACTGTGTGTGCGTGCATAGCTGTATGTGTGCATGGCTGTGCGTGCACAGCTGTGCGTGGCTGTGTGTGTGTGCATGGCTGTGTGTGTGCATAGTTGTGTGTGGAGTGGCATCCATGAGGAGTCCTCAGAGAGGGCAGCTGACACACCAGGAAAAGGTAGAGGTGGCGATGGAGATGGGGAGAGACTCAGCCTTGCTGGGCCTGGCTTCCCTCCTGTCCAGGCCCAGACCTACCTATCTTCCGGATGTGGGCCAGCTCCTTGGTGATGGCGGGCGAGTCACTGAGTCCACACAGGTTTTCCGAAAAGACCCGGAAGGAGTACGAGTTGCCCACGATGAGGTCGGAGATGGTGCAGGAGGTCGGATGGTAGCGCTCCAGCACGGTGAACCATTGCTGCGGGGACCCGGCCCTGTCATCACACCCGGCTGCTACTCCCCGGGGAGGCTGCAGCATCTACCTTGGGCCTGAGGGACTTTCAATTTGGGAGGAGGGGCCTCTGGGTCATTTGGGTGACCTCTCGGGGTCATTCTGGGTCGTTCGGGTGACCTCTCTGGGGTCCTCAGAGAGCATCTTCCCCCCTCCCCCGCCCCCTGCAGTCTTCATGGGGGAAATGAGGCCCAGAGATGAAAGGGGTCGTGCCTAAAGCCGCAGGAGGAGTCAGGCCAGTGGTAGGCAGACCTGAGCTCAGTCCCCGACTCTCAGTGGGCTGGGCCTTCCCCCCACCTCGTCCACTTCCTCCCTCACCCCACTCACACTTCCCCACCCAGGTTGGCCCGGGAGCCTCACCTCTGTCTTCTTGTCCGCCTTCTGCACCGTGTAGCCCAGAAGCTCAGTGTTGCCGGAGTCCTGGGGCGGCGTCCACTCGAGGGCCACATTGCAGCCCCAGACGTCCACTAGCCGGATGCTGCTGGGCGGGTTGGGCTTCTCTGCAGGACCAGTGTCAGGAGGGGTCAGGGGGCGGCTGGGCTGGCCTGACAACCCCCACCCCCAGGATCTTGCTCCTATCACACTCCCCTGGCCTGACCCCGTGAGCGTCAGCTGTGGTGTAGGAGGTGGGGGTGTCTGGCCCCTGGGAGGCACGCTGCCTCCCCTGCCCCATACCAATGACCAGGATGTTGATGGCTGCCCGGGCCTCCAGGGTTTCCAGCCGCACAGTGAGCTCATAGCAGCCTGAGTCTGAGCGCTGGGCCGAGCGGATGAAGAGGATGGAGTCCTGGTCCCCGGTGCGCACGCTCACTCTCTTGCTGTCCAAAGCTTGGCCGTTGTGGGTCCACGAGACTTGAGGCTTGGGATTCCCCTGGGAGGGAGGAGCCCTCAGGGTGTGCAGGGAGGTGCCAGCACCTACAGCCACCCCACGCTGGGGTCTCTGGAGCTGTGTGCAGGGAGCCATCCCCACCAGTCCTCCCAGGAGGGGCTGCAGAGGCTGGAGCCCCAGCTGCTGCTCAGACTGTCACCCATGGATGTCCAGCCAGCCTTGGGGCGAGCTGCCCCGTCCACAGGTTGGAGAACGTGCAGGAGGGGGGAACCTCTGGGAGAGTCCCAGACAGACCCCCCACAGAGATCCTGACATTTCCTGGGCTCTTCTGACCAACCCAAAGGGGCCCTGATTTCCACCCAAGCTGGTACCCTGATTCCCACACACACCTGGAAGGGAATCTGCAGGTTGACCATCTCTCCCACCTGGCGGATGTAGGTCTGACGCAGGTGGCGGGGCACACGGATCTTGGGTGCCTCTGCATCAAAGGGAGAGTCGGCTCAGCACAGCACAGCACTGGGCTTGCTGATTGGTGAGGCCTGAGGGCTGGGCAGGAGGGCTCTTGGGTGTGTTGTGGAGCCATCTTGTGGGATGAATGGAACTTGCTCCTGAAATCGAGGGGCCCCAACCCCCCTAAAGCCCCTGGGGAACTAAGCCAGAAAGTCCCAGGAGGGCAGGCCTCCATGGTGTGGATGGAGAAGCATCTGGATTCCCTAGGCTCCTGGGCCCTGCTGGCTGGGATTCTCCTGCAGCCCCAGATTCCTGGGTCCAGATTTTGGGGACCTGCATTCCCAGAAAGGAGCACAGCCTAGGCCCGAACCCAGCCCCTCCACCCACAAGAGCCCAGGACCTTCCAAGAGACCCAAGTGCTTGTGCTGTGCCTCCTGATCACGTGGGAGGGTTAGAAGGTCTTCCTAGAAGACGCCAGAGCAGACAATTCCCTTCTTCTCTGCCCCACCCTAACCCCCCTCCCCCCTCCCCCCACCACCATCCAGTCTCTCAGTCGGGAAGCCTTTCTGGAATCTAGGAGGACAGGACACCACGGTCCTGACCATCACCCAACCAGGTGCAGCCCTGCACCACGGGCATTCCTAGGGAGGCAGCGCAGCCAAGCCGCTGCCCTGGGCGGGGGTGGGGGTGGTGACTGAGGCTTCTGGGCGGACAGGTGGCGGCAGTTGGTGGCTCACAGGGCGGAGGGAGGAGACAGGGAGAAGGAACACTGTGTCTCCGAGGATTAGCTGTGTGGGCACTTGGCTCTGGGAGCTTTGGGTGGAATGCTTGGCAGCTGCAGGTGGCCAAGGAGGGACAGCTGAGCAGCCGAGGAACCTGGACAGGCCCCCACCCTGCCCTGCCCACCAGGAGGGCTGGCTGGTCCCTGTTTGTTCACAGTCTCTCCCCTCTTCTCTCCAGGAAATCCCCTTCTCGGCTGCCAGAGGAATTCTCGCGGAGTAGCAGGGGCCGAGGCTGGCTGTCAGCGCTGGGCTTCGGGGTAGAGGCCGGGCCCTGCGGCCTCGCAGAGCCTGAGCTCCCTGGGGCCCCGGGGAAGAACCAGGGCCTTCCCTACAGGTCTCTGCGTTTGCGCTGCAGACAAAGGCTGGGAGCACCCTTGGCTTTTGAAAACCAGGGAGAACATCCCCCTGGAGGCAGGAGAGGGCCTGTGTGGAGGCAGGTTCTGGGAGCGGCTGCACCGGAGCCGGGGTCTCCCCAGAGTCCCTGACCCTGGGGACCAGCTTGACAGCCAAGGGTTCTTAGTTCCCGTGGTCACATCTCCCGGGCCCTGGAGCTGAGATTATCGCCTTGAACCCAAGCTTGACCCTTCCTGTGGCCGTGAAAACCCCTGTTTCTGGAGGCCTTGCTCAGACCTGTGGGTTCCCCCTCGGAGGCTGGAGGTGCGGAGGCCTCAGCCACCTGCTGGCCTGTACCTCTCCTCACTGCGCCCTGGGCTGTCCCCAGAGACCTTGGAGCCGAAGGAATGACTCACGGCCATGAACAGACTGAAACCTGACCTGCTCTGGCAGGGAACAGGGGTAGGTGTGAGGCTGGTGCCCCCACAAATAGAAACCTTAGCAAGAGAAACAGCTGGGCTCCCAGGTCCCCAGGGTGGTGCTGCTCTCTGGGGATGGAGAAACCTTCATGGGCCGTTTAAGGGCCCTGTCTTCCTCCCACCAGAGACCTGGACCCCAGGGGAGCTCTGGAACCCAGGCCAGAGGAAGGAGCAGGAAGGAGCGTTCATGGCTCTCAGGGGAAGACTAGACAGGAGGACGGGCGGAATGAGTGTGGCATTGGGACCCTGAGGCAGGTGACCAGGGGAGCCGAGCCTTCGTTCTGGGGTCAGGAAACCCTTCCCCCAAGCTTGGGTGACGGGCCACTCAGAGAAATGGGCTCTTGGACCTTCAGAGGGTCCTTGCTGCTGGGAACCTGGAACTTTCTAAAGGCAAGATGGCGACAGCACGTGGCTTGTGCGCATGACAGGGACGGAATGACTGCCTGTCCCCTCTGCCCATTGGCCTCAGCTTCTCCACCCATCCCCTGAGTGCCTGGGACGGGCTGGGCGTGGGACGCCAGGCCTTACCGATGATCTCCCGGATGTGGATGGGCTGGTCCAGCGTCGCGGGCGGGCCGGCTCCCGCGGGGCTCACGGCAGCCACGCGCAGGAAGAACTTGTCTCCGGGGGCCAGTTTCCGCACGGTCTGCTGGGTCACCATCATGGGCCGGGCGTTCACGGGCACCCATTCCGAGGCTGAGGAGGGAGAGGCCGGGAGGCCCTGGCTTCGTGGCCACGGGCACCCTTCTCGCCCAGGAGCTGGGCCTAGTTCCCCTTTCCTCCCGTTCCCGGCCCCTCGTTTCTACGCATGGAGGACACCTGATGGAAGGGCTGGGCGAGTGGCCAGAGGAGGGTTCTCCAGCTCAGAGGGTGGACACAGTGGCCAAGTCGCACAGCAAGGTCGGGTCAGAGGCCGAGGCCAGGCTGAGCTTGGCTGCCATGGAGGTGGAAACAGGAATGTGTCCCATTTCTCCCCACCGTCTCACCCTCCCTCCACCCCCAGCTCCTCTGCTCTGCCTGCTGAGTGCCCTCCCCCCGCGGGGTCTTCTGAGAGGCAGCCCCTCCCTCACTTCTCCGCAGAGCAGTGCCCGTCCCCATCCCGGTGCTGTCACTCAGGGGCTCCCTGGAGCTGGGGACCAGCACTTCCTGGGGACACGCTGACCCTCTGCCTCCTCGCGTTCCCGGCACGGAGTGGGGTCTGGGGCTGGCTGCCCCCAAGCCCACTCTCTGGTGCCCGCGGGGCTTTGCCCAGAGCTCACCTCCCTCCTTGCGAAGCTCCAGCAGGTAGCCCTGGAGGCCCTGACTCCCCAGCCTCTCCGGAGGCTCCCAGCTCACGGTCACCGAGCAGTCGCTCACGTCCTCGATGGTCAGCTGCAGCGGGACACTGGGCACGTCTGTGGGAGAAGGAGGGGAGAGGAAAGGTGTGTGCCCAGAGTCCCCCCCATCTTCGGCCCTGCCTGCCTCCCTCCTCCGCCTGCCCCCGCTCTGGTCACCTTCACTTCGAGGTGCAGGTTTAGTGGCTTCGGGGGCAGGTGCCTCAGGGGTTGCCGTGGGAGCCTGCTCCTCCCCTGTGAGCTCCGATGCTGCCCCTTCTCCTGAGGGCTCCGTGGGCTCCGTGGGCTCCGTGGGCTCCGTGGGCACCTCCGAGGCAGGCTCCTCCGGACCATGGTCAGGGGCCTGCGAGGCTGCGGGGGCAGGAGCCTCAGAGGTTGCTGCTGGAGCCTGCTCCTCCCCTGAGGCCTTCGATGCTGCCCCTTCTCCTGAGGGCTCTGTGGGCACCTTGGGCACCTCGGAGGCGGGCTCCTCCGGACCATAGTCAGGGGCCTGCGAGGTCGCTGTCATTGCCGGGCTGGTTGTGGTCAGGCTGAGTGTGCAGAGGTCAGCTGTGGAGGGTCTGGGCCTCCAGGGTGCCTGGGACACCTAGGACCAGGCTTATATAGGCAGGGCTGCCCCACCCCCGGCCAAATGGTTCCCAGCTGTGGGGTCAGGCCAGGTGGGGGCTGGGAGTGGGGAGGCGCCTCGGCCAGGAATAGCTCTGGGGGAGGGACGGAGGGTCCCTTGAGAGGGCACTGTGTCGTCCATCACCCGGGTTGGCTCCCAGCAGCCAGGGTGCTGGTGCCCAGATGGGAGGAAGGCGCAGATGGGTGAGATAGGACGCTGGCAGTGGCCGGTGCCAGGGGTCAGGGCAGTGGCAACGAGAGCTTCCATCTGGAGGGTGAACCCAGCTCAGGCCGCCTTGGCCTCCCGGGGGTCACGTGTGGCCAGGCCCCGGAGCCTGGGGCTGGGGCCCAGACTGCCCAAAATAGCCTCCCCTGGGAGCCGTGCCCCTGCCCTCCCATTCCCGGGGGTCTCCCTTGTGCTGTATGCTGCTGAGGGCCCTAGAGAGGGAGGAGTTGGGGTGCCAAGGTGGGTCTCTCAGCAACGGGATCCCAGGAAGGGGGTCCAGGGCCCTGTTACTGCCTCTCTGAGATGCTGGCAGGACCCTCTTGGGGCCTCCGTTGCCCCACCTGTCACAGCGCCGCTGACAGACCCCCAGCCCTGGGGTGGTTCATGTCAGTAAGGCAGGCGTGGGAAGGACCATGGAGGAAGCCAGCACTCAGAACCTTCTAGATGCTTCAAAGCAGAACCTGGCGTGGGCATTGGCAGTGGAGGAAATGAGGCAGGTACATATTTGTAGTTGTTGGTTTGTTCATCCCTAACATGTCAGATTGGTGACCATCTAAATCTGGACAACAGTAGGGTCAGGGAGACGGAGACCAGGGCTCTTACTGCTGCTGGGCGTGTGGACTAGGCTGTGGACGGAGGAATCCCCTTTGGAAATGTGAGATGGGACCAAGCACAGTGCACACTCCACGCCCCGCGGTGCCGGCCCGAGGCTCTCGGGAGACAGCCCTGCAGGAACCGTCCCCACAGGATCATGCGCCACAGCTGGCAGCTCGGAGAGCGCTGCCCGGCGGGGGGTGCGTAGGCGACTGTGAGAGAGTCTGCACCCACAAAGCACCACGGTGTCACCCTACCCACATCCAATGCAGACGCAGACAGTGGCCGGCTCTGTGCTCCCAGGGGCGTCCCCAGGTGGCGAGACCACAGAGGAAGCCAGGATGTGGCTGCCCCGAGCGGAGTTTGGGGAGCATTTCTGAGGTCTCGTTTCCCTTCCTGGGTGGCGGCTACACAAGTTTTCACAATGAAGCAATTCTTTAAATGAAAGAAACACAGGCCAGGCAGGCTTTAGCCTGGACGGTGCCCCCATGTCAAGTCCAGGACACGTGTAGCTTATGTAGGTCCTCAGCCGCAGGCACCGTCTTCTCTGTCCCCGGGGTGAGGCCACGCGCGTGTGGCTGCCTCTCCCCTGGCTGTCCTTGTGGGGAGTGGCCTGGGGGCCGGTGCCAGGCGACTCAGGGTCCTGCCGGGCAGGGGTGGGCCCTGGAGACCGATCCCCAGCCCTTGCGCTGAGTCTGCAGCTATAAGGGAACGTGACTAACGGCAGGACCCTGAGTCACCCCTGCCGGGCGTGTCCCAGTCGGCGGAAGGCTGGCCCAGGGGCAGGGTGGAGGGGTGGCTGCCCCAGAGGGCTCACAGCCCCGGCTTTCAAAGACCCTGTGTGGTGGGGTACCCTGTACACGCGAAAGCACGCATGGCCTGTATTTCTTTCAGGGATTAGGGAAGCTTGGCCCCACTGGCCGGCGGGGAAATGTCACGTACCCCGAGGCTCTGGCCAGGTCCCCACCTTCTGTGCCTCTGGCTGAGCTGTGACCTTGAGACCAGTTGCATCTGCCCAGCTCCAGCTGGTTCAGATTTCAATGCAGCCAATAGGTATTTCCTTCCCTGCACCTTAAACTAGCGTCACAAACCACTGGCCAAGTCACAGAGCCCAAACATCAGAGCCTCCACGAATGAATCCTCGAGGACTTTCTCTGGCTGCACAGCATGTCATCCCACACGTCCCCTCCTGCCCACCCCATGTCTCAGGCCAGCCTGGCTGAGGAGCCCTGCTGGATTGAGGGCTCAGTGTGTCCCAGGAGAGAGATGAGGGGACGGGGTTGCTGTGGTGATAGGAGGGGCCCCTCCATGGCGGTGAGCCCTTGGGAATGGCAGGACCATGGGGAGGCTGGATCTAGACCTGGGCGGAGGGAGGATGCGTGATGCAACCTGGTGTCTCCTTCCAGCTGGAGAGTTGAGTCAGCTCTGCAGCCTGGCCTTGTGCTGGCGCCTACATCTCCCCTGGCAGATGAAGGGTTAGGATTGGGGCGTCCCTCCTTCTCCTTCCTGCTGGCCTTACAGAAACAGGGTTCTCTCAACAAGGAGCGGAGGCGAGAGGGCTGCATGACAGTGAGTTCCAGTGGACGCTCTCAGCCCTGCCGGGTGGAGCCAGGCAGGCGGGTTTGAAGAGGCTGCCTCTTTTGGGGACTCCCAAGGCCCTGGCAGTGGCCACGCTGGCCTCCCCTTCTGCAAGCTCAGGGCCCCCAAACTTGGGAGAGAGGAACCCAGATGAGAGGGGAGAGAGGAGCCCATGGGCCTCAGAGACGGGTCAGCAAATGCCAACACAGAAGCTCCGGTGCTTTATTGAGCAGCTGGGGATTGGGAGGGAGGCACGAGGACGCTCCTGGTGGAGGTTGGAAGCCGGGCATGCGGAGGCTGGATCTGTGTGGTCACTGCTTCCTGCATGACGTCTGTGCTGGGTGGAGGAGCTTGCTTGCTCGTGTGGCCTCTGCCGAGGAGGCCCGGGGAGGGAGCGGCGTTTTAACTCAACGTGTGCGCTGTCCCTGCCTGACACTGGGGATCCAGCCCTCACTGCCCACAGCCCCGCCGCCCCCTGCAAGCCCACAAAGCTGAGCGCAGAGCTCAGAGCTGGACCCTCTGCAGGGCCAGGGAGGGAGACTGAGGTGCAGCGGGGCAGGTGACCAGCTCCTGAGCAGCAAGAACCCCGGGAGCAGTGCCCTGCCCAGCGTGTGCTGGACGGACGGACGGACGGAGCGCTAAGCGGCAGCCAGGGCTTCCTTGATGGCGCTGGTGAGGGGGAAGTGCAGATTCTTGCCGCAGAAGGTGCCCCGGAAGTCGTCCAGGTCCAGGGCCCACACCATGGCTCCTGCCAGCCCCCGGTTCTTCAGGTACTGCACCTGGCAGGTGAGGCCCAGACGGGCAGCGCTGGGTTACCTGCCTGATGTGCGTAGGGGGGACCTGCTGTCCTGGCCCCGCCCCAGGTGACTCAGCATCGCCCTCCAGCAGGGCGCCCTGGGCTCCTCTCCCTCTCCTTCCTGGGGTGTGGCCTGCGAGACCTACCTTGGTTTTGACGCTCTCCTGGTCATCGTACCCCACCCACTGGTTGCCCTTGGTGGCATAGGGGACCTGCTGGTCAGGGAGTCGGTGCACGGTCGCTCCACGAAGGAAGTCACAGATCTGAGCAGAGGACAGTCAGGGTGTGAGGGGCCGCAGGGCACAGGGTGCGACTCCTCCAGCCTCTCAGCCGCAGGCACATGTGCCCTCGGCAGACGCCTGGCTGCCCGCTCGCTGTGGGAGCAGAGGCCCATGTCCCCAGCTGTGTGGTCCTGGCTGCGAACGGCAGAGGCCGCCAGAAACCAAAGCACCTGGGGCTGGCGGACAGAGGAAGACCGGGTGTGCCTGACTCCCCTCAGCCTGGACACCAGTCGCCTGGAACACGGAGAGAGCAGAGGGGGTGGGCGGCGGCTCACCTTCCCCAGGAACTCCCTTCTCCCCAGTCGCACCTCATAGTAAGCGAGGATCCCGCCTTCCTTGGTGAACTGGCCGGGCAGCCCGGGCCCCGAGATGGGGGCTCCCACTCCGATCTTCGAAGAGGCCAGCGTGAAGCTCCTCCCGAAGGTGGGGATGCCCATGAGCAGCTTCTGGGCCGGGACCCCCAGCCTGAGCGCGTAGCCCACGGCATAGTCCTGGGGGGTGGGGGAGGACAGTGGAGCCGTCAGTCTCTCCTACACACACCTGGGGCTCCCCTTCCTCCCAGGGACCCATAACCTCAGTCTAAAGGGCACTGCACAGCTGGGGTCTCAAAAAGCCTCCTGAGCACAGGGAGGAGTGTCAGCTACAACAGCTGTGAAACCGGGCGGCGGGCTCAGGCTCCACGGTCAGCAAAAGGCAGGTCTAGACCCGACCGGCCTCCTCAGCCCCGGCCCCCCATCCTCTCGTCCCCCCTCGGCCTGCACGCACCCCCGGGGCCGTCAGTTGAGGCCTGGCTCCTCCACAGAGGGGTGGCGCCCTCTGTTCTCAGACTGTGGGGACGCGTGGCCCCTGTGCCTCAGTCTCCGCATCTATGACCTGGGCCCGAAGCCCCTGCCATGCAGGACCCTCCCCCACTCACAGTGTTGCTGTATCTGTCAGAACTTGGGGCCTCCTGGCCTGGGAACAGGGGGCTGTGGTGTCCCGCACTCTGGCGCCAGGCTCCATGGAAGTCGTAGGTCAGGAGGCTGATGAAGTCCAGGTGTCTGTGGGAGCGGAGGGAGGGCGAGGTGGGAACTGGAGAAGCTGCCAGTCCCGCGGGATGTGAGCAGGGCAGACTGGAGAGATGGGCCATCCACCCAACCCAGTCCCGCCCAGTGACCCACTGTCCAGGCTCCCAGACCGGACCCCTCCAGTTCATTGTGTTGAGAACAGATTAAAACTGTCATCAGCTGCCCGGCTGGCGTGGCTCAGTGGTTGAGTGTTGACCTATGAACCGGGAGGTCAGGGTTTGATTCCCGGTTGGGGCACGTGCCCGGGTTGTGGGCTCCATCCCCAGTGTGGGGCGTGCAGGAGGCAGCCGGTCCATGATTCTCTCTCAGCATTGATGTTTCTATGTGTCCCTCTCCCTTCCTCTCTGACATCAATAAAAAAATATTTTTTTAAAAAGTGTCATCAGCCCTGACCTGTTTGGCTCAGTGGATAGAGCGTCAGCCTGCAGACTGAAGGGTCCCAGGTTCGATTCCGGTCAAGGGCATGTACCTTGGTTCTGGGCACATCCCCGGTGGGGGGTGTGCAGGAGGCAGCTGATCGGTGTTTCTCTCTCATTGATGTTTCTGACTCTCTATCCCCCTCCCTTCCTCTCTGTAAAAAATCAATAAAAATATATTTTTAAAAAAAGTGTCATCAACAGACAGCAGGACAGAGGGCACCAGACCTGGACACGCACACAAGAGGCAGCAGATGGACTCGTGGACCTGAGCGTCAGGTGTTGGGGGCAAATGCCTGAGACCTCCCCTCCTCATGGTGCATTTAGGCTCTGAGTCTCCACCCCCCGAATGTGGTAAAGAAGATCTGATGTCATAGCAGAGCCCTCGTCCTTCACTCCTGGCTTCCTGAGGCCCAGGCCTTAGCCCCACCGGCCATCAGGCCCTTGGCTGTGGCTGCTCCTCATTTGGGGGTTGGGGGGCAGGCTGAGGAACAGGGGGACCCGCCTGAGTGAGCCTCTCAGGCTGCCCTGACCACCTGGCAAGGAAAAGCCACTCAGGGAGGAGCACTCAGCCTCGTGCAGCGGACAGCGCTGGGCGGCTCGGCTGGCTGGTGTGTAAGCTCCTCCTACTTCCTTTCCCGCAAACTCCTGCCCGGCCACTCTCTCCACCCGTCGTACTAGACCCAAGTGGAAAGGAAGGAGAGGTGTTATTCTCCCCACGATGGACGGGAGACGAGACGCAGAGAGGGAGCGCGACCTCCTGAGCTGCCCTGGCTCCCACGGAGGGCAGGTGGGGGGACTCACTGGGCCAGCCGGGACATGTCGTAGCCTCTGTCCAGGGCCACCTTCCCGGCAGACACCGCGGCGCTCAGGAGCAACGGCTGCTTTTCCTTCGGGGCTTCCTTTACAAACTCAGCCTTCATTTCCTGGTGGGAGGGAGGCCGCAGGTGGAAGGGGTCCCGGGGGTGGGAGAGAGCCCCGTGCTGGGAGGCCAGTTCTGAGCACCTCACAGCCCCTGAGGGGCTCCGGGGACCACGGGTGGCGCCTCAGTGGTCCTGTCCCCAGGCCGATCCTGGGACTCGTCTCGTGCCCACCCCCTACCCCGTCACTCAGTGACTCCTGCCCTGGAGGGACCGCGAGATGCCAGTTGGACTCCAGGGGACTGCCTTTTGGTCTGCGCTCTGTCCCCACAGGTACACGAGACCAGAGTGAACGTGCCAGGGCTGGTGCTGTGGGCGATGTGTGTGGACGGTCGCTGTCCCCGGTCCCTGGAGATGCTTGGGCTGCCTCCCTGCCCCTGTCCCAGACCCGACCAGCACCTTGACCAGAGAGGTAAGATGCCGCTTGTCCCTTCGTCCAGGGTAGATCCAGGCCAGGTCCAGCCCGTCGAAGCCGTGGGTCCGAAGGAACGGTGGAACCGACTTGATGAAAGTCCTGCGACTCTGGGTGTTGGAGGCTATTTTGGAAAATCTAGGAAATCACCGCAGAAGAGTGCTTAGTGCTGAGATGCTGGGCACGGTCCACTCTGGGGGGTTTCTGTTCCCCGAGGAGCAGGGAGCCTGAGCCCACAGCCCCAGGAGACACGGCCAGGGTGGGACCCACTTCTAGTCATGTGCTTTGGAGCCAGACACCCCTGGTTCCCAAGGGAGGCTCCGTCACCCACTAGCCAAGCCACTCACAGGCTGTGACCTGGGTCGCAGTGCACTCGTCTGTAAAACGGGGATGAATGTGCTCTCGGTGCCACTGTGAGGATGGCATGTGAAATGGCCTGGAAGGCGCCTGACACTTAGTAACCACTCACTGAATGGGAGCTGCTGTGGCCGTGCCGCGCCCCCTCTGTACACCCCGCCCTCACAGTGACCTATGGATGAGTTAAGCCCCTTCAGCTTTTGTCTCCACTTTCTTTCCGAGAACCATTCCAGTCGAGAAGTTACTCCATGGGGAAGGCTGTCTGGGTGAGCCGTGCACACATAAGACCACAATGGGATCAGCGGGCGCGCGGGATCAGGGGCCGGCTGACTTTTGTGAATTCTGCTGGGTCATGCTCCCAAGCAGATAACGGGAATGACAACTAACATACAGAAAAACTCCTTGAGTCAT